ATACACTCGACCCTTCACAGACAGCCGGATGTCGCGACGGCGCCAAAGATGTCTCAAGTTGGCAAATGTCAACCGAGCCTTTTGTATGCGCGCCGACCCTTCGTGATCGCCACTGTTGTCGGTTTGCTGCTATGACATTCAGTATCTCCAAGTGGATGTTTGGATATACTGAATGTCATAATAGGAAACCGAGGGCAGCGGCGATCATGCTGCCAGAACTAGCATATACACACACTAGACCGTGTGTTAACCACCGGTGTTTTCTTTCTTTCACGCATCTAAAAATAGGCCCAATCTCTATCCTCACACATTCGGTGGTGGTGACCCAGTGGTAGCGTCACCAAATGATCACTCCGGAGCTGTGTGTTCGAATCCCACCATCACCACCTGTCTTTCCCCATTGTGTGTTGTATGGTAGCCCTTTGATTGACCGCTTCCACCTTCCTGAAAATCGTATCTTTGTATACTGAATAGGAGGAAGTAGAATGAAAATGAATGAAATCAATTTTCACTTACCTTGTATGTATTGCTAGTTTGGCAGCGATCAGTGAAGTTCAATTCACTGTATGTCGCTGCACTATGATGATGGTGATGACCGGTAGACGTAACTGACTGGGAAATGTGTGACTGCCTGATTTTACGGATTTGAAACGATTCGCGCCGCAATGCACCAATGCAATTGTACATGTGACTTGGCAAAGGAAGAGTGTGACCTACAGTTACACCAAGTTATTTTAGATTTCATTGGCGGTGAACGATTGCTATCTATCACCGTAGGATCGTAAAGGGCCTGCCCAACTATACAAACTATGCACATTTGCTGGGATTTAAACCGCCCCGATTGAAACGAGAATAACTGAATTTGGGAAAGATTGTCGCTAAAGTAGCTTAGGCCAGAGAAAGAAGGAGTAGGTTGGTAAAGTACATCGTCTACATATTTAAAGACGCTTGGAAGAGAAACACAAGGAATATCTCAAATGTGTGTGGGAAATAAGTATATAGGAGCAACTCAACTCGTTGAGGAACACCGTTGTTGGCTAAAGGTAAAAGTTAGGAGCGGTATTGCTTTCGTTGTTAAGTGCTATCATAACAAATAATAATTGATTTTGGTTTCTGCTAACTACTTTTCTTTTCAGCAACTATTTGGAAGAGGACCTGAAGTTTGTTGCCTGATTGTTGGTCAGTCAATCTAAACTCATCCCATGTTGCCTTCGACCGTTTCGATACAAAGATATGCTCTCAATCTGAGAGTATTAAACACACGTCTTTGTTCGTTCGAAGCGAATCAGCTGCCTATCGAGCAGACTGTATCGGTGCCATGCGGAACAGATGAAGTAACCTATGTCCTGCCTGATTTAAGCTAACTTCCTTTAGCCTGTAATGATGGAGGATCCGTATAAAAAGACAAAAAAGCGTTGCTTTTTGTGCAAACACAACATTGAGTTAGATTACAAGGTAACGGAATGAATTAAGTGTGCTAAATTGTTCCGCTCAGAATGTCAGATTACTTTCACAGTTCGTTTCTCCGTACACGGGAAGAATTTACGGTCGTCACATTACAGGTCTTTGTATTCCAATGCAGAAGCGTATCTCAACACTGATTACTCGATCGAGGCAGTTCGGTGAGTGCGATTTTCCTCACTTTATTCTTATTCATTCCCAGGATTCATGCCGTTTGAGAACAAGGAAACGGTATTTGTGAAAGATCCACGAATCACAGCCAAGCCTCCCCAAACCTCTACTTGAAAATCTTTGTAAAGCGAGTTTTGAGCAAAATAGACATTACTTTCATTTTTAAGTTTTGTTCTTGTTGGTTTCACATGCTTTGACAGTTCTTGCACGATATCTGAAATAGTTCAACTTGATGAGGTTATTCAGTTGCGAATTATTTAAACATTAGCAGGTGGTTGAGCAATTGGCATAATGATATTCTTCTAACGTTAACAATATTCTTTTTCCGCGATGCGTTATTTTCATAAGGACGCTCACTCGGAAGTTATCGGCGTCCATAGTCGTCGCGTTGAGCATGTTGAACATGTAACGAGTTGTGAAAAACTAGTTAACCTTCGACGCATAGCCGCATTTGTCACATTCAGGCTATTTACGGAGTTTGAACTTGGTTTGTACGGTTGGTAAGCACTCATACTTGTGGGACTGGGCAGTAGATTCCGCTAGTTTTGATCTAAATGTTCAATTTCCGTACATGACGTCCTGCCTTGGGAGTTTCTCACGCGACTGTATGCGCAACTACAGGTTTTTATGTTATTCTTTAGCATTTCAAACTTGTCCTCTTAATAACCACAGAAACCACATCGCTCGAACCAAACTGAGTTTTACATTGACACGTGATGAGCATATGTGCCACACATTCAGAGCAGTTATTATGCGCATGTTCGAATACTTGATGCCCTGACAAATTTCTACCCGACACCTAGTTGCAGCGCAAAGCACGATATTGACGTGCCTCCAAACGTGAAGGAAGATGAGTGTCTCTGAAATATTTGGCAATTCTCATGTTTTAGATACTCATACTCCCCCAAGGAGAAGGGATTGAGAGTCTTAAAGCATGTTGCCATGCCATTTGACTGCATAACACGTCGTGGTTAGGAAAAAATAAGCAATGAATTGAATTATGGGATCGTATTTTTCAAGTGAATCTGAAATTTACCCTCAGAATTCCCACGATATCAATTTGAAATGGATTGGGGCACATCGCCACCGTGGGACAACACCGGTTATTCCTCAATGTTACCGAATCCCTGGGATTCAGTTTAGCGGACAGAATACGGCAATCTGATTTCTGTATTCCATTGGTGCTCTAGTAATTTCCATTTCGGAAAAAATACAGACTGCAACCCTATGCATATTGCACGGTTCTATTAGTAAACGCACTTTTCTTTTTCGTTTCCAACAAGCGCTCACCCTGTTGTTTTGCCAAGTATCTTTTGACTGGAAAATTGCTGGTGAAACAGTTCTCAGGACAAAACGTGGTGACAGACTTCGCAGACACGACCGTATTCAAATCAATATGAGTAACATTCTAACGGAATACCAAAATTGGATCATCAATAAATACAATGTTTGCTCTGAAAACTAGTTTTAAATTGTTGAATCTTGAAACTAAATGTTTTTACAAACGGCTATTCTAAAACAAGGCTACAAGTAATCATCATCATCATCATTGTTCAGCGAAATACTAAGAAGCGAACCTCACTGATCGCTACCAAACTAGCAACGCGTACAAGGTACGTGAAAATATGTAAGGAGGACAGGGATTGGGACTATTTTTAGGGACGGGGAAAAGAAAGCATATCTCTATGGTCAACACACGGAGTTCACAGTCCAGCTGGGCATACGTACTATTTCAAGCATTCTGTTCTGATAAGAAGTGACAACAAGATCGCCATCGCTGTCGGTTCGCAGCCATGCCCTTCAATGTCTCCAACCATGTGGTTACGGAGTCTTTTTGGACCCCACTCCGGCAGACGAGAGACACTTACTCTACCTAATCGCTGTGTGCATTTCTTCATGCCTCGTCTCCACATCATCTGCTGGCCTCCACGTGGATTTCTCCAGTCTGCAACAACTACTGCAAATAATGCACGCAGCGGTAAGCGACCGTCGGACATA